ATCCCCATGAATTCTGAGTAGTTTCATTTATCTTTCTCCTTGCACTTGCAATAAGAAGTAATCTTGCAATAAGAAGTAATCATGTGTAGGATTAGAAATGTTTAAGATTTCTCTTATTCCATACTTGTGACGATTCATTACTTTGTACTTCATTTACACTTCAATCTGGCCACTTGGAATGTTAAAATATGTTGTAAATCCATAATGACCCGGGAGGGCTATGTGTTCCTCAACTAGTAAGAATCACATTAATCACGTAGGTGAGAAGGTAATTCATTGTTTAGTGCAAATGGATAAGGAGATAAATTTTGATGGGCGTAAATTATGGATTATAGAGTGACAGGCTAGAACCTTTACCAATTTGATGTAGAGTTTGGAACCTAAGGACCGGTTAGTCCTATGGAGAGGGCACACTGGGTAATCTAAAGGTGAGAAACTAGAACTTATCCAACATAACTTGCGATTTAGGAACTTACTTTAGGTTAGCCAACGTTCTTTATGCACTCATGAGAGAGTAATGAATAATATGCTCCTATTTGACACAAAACTACATTTTAACCTTCAAACATTTGATTTCTACACTTATTATGATCTCTTTGCAAGGGGAAAGAATTTTCACATAATTTGAACTCTTCTTCATAAAACTAGATTAGAAATAGTGCATTTTCTTTAAAGCTTTGAAATATGATTAATAGGAATTTAACAACCTTTTTTAACACCTAAACTTGCTACAATATTTCCTAGAGAATTTTTTGGAGTTAAAGTAAATTTTTCCTAAGTCATATAAAGAGTTTTGGATAAAAAGAGTTTCACCTTCTCTGTGCTTAAAAGAAAATTCTATATTAATTGAAATGATGCGTATAATTGCAAAGTACCTCTAATGTGTAAACCATTTATCAAATTCTAAGTTTAATAAATTAACTCTTATACACACTGACCGCTAAAATATATTGGGTCAATTTTTTTACTAGCTTTCGGAAACTAAAGAACTTCGTAAATGTGGGTAGGGCATCAACAAGCAGTGGTTCAAGTTAGAGAAAAGTAATGTTACACAGAATAATAATTTTTAGTAATTTAAAAATATATATTCTTAGCTCTCTTGCTTCCTCCCAGTATCCTTTCAATCTGGAATTGGATATTCCTTTTGGCCTCATTTTTGCGCTCTGTTTGAAGACTTCTTTTTTTTGCTTTTTTTATTTGGTTGAGGTTCTTTCCCAGCTAATATGTTTTCAACATCTATAGGTAACATTTTGAATGATGCCAGTGTGAATATCTCAGCAACTCATTTCCTTCTGCTTTATTAACTAGTTAGTAGAAAACTTTTGAGCATGTGAGTGAAATAGAAGGCCACTAGAGGTTACAATAGACATTTTTGATTTCTTGAGATAGTTGTATCTAAAACTTTTATAGATGTCCTTTTTGGCTTTAATAGATGATCACAATAATAAGTATTGGTCTGGACTCTTAGTTAAATTTATCGTATGAAGAATAAGTAGGTAGTGAGTGCAAAATAACCCCATCATTTTAAATTTCTTACAGCTACACGTGATCTCACAAATAACCTGTCAAATTTTACAATTCAGGGTTTGTTCGTCTCAAGAGTATCCAAATTCCTTAAATGGAATTTAGATTCACTATCAGATGAGACATCGACCATTACTTCGCATAACCTATGCAGTAACTCTTTCTCAAACCTTGAGTAAAGCTTCCGCGTGTAATATGAAGTAGCTTGCTTCAACATTATGCTTGTTTTAAGTGTGGGTGCAATAACAGTCAAGGAGCTTCTGAAGTCTTCATTCTGCTCATTCATTCTCTATGATTTCATAAAATCTTCAAAACCTAGAAAGTAATCATTGAGAGAAGTTGCAGGCTTAGAAACACCATGACAGATGTTATTTGTTGACTCACTTCTTTGCGTTGGTAAGATTATCATTCCAAATATTTCTTTATTGAATGTTGTTGACCACTTGTGTCTTATATTGTACAAATCATCTGTCCACATGTTATTGTGTGGGTTTCCTCTCTCAATCATTATAGCCCAGTTCTCTTCAAACTCCTCTTCGAAATCACACTTGCTCATTCATTTATAAAATAACTTGTTCACACTCTTGTAAGACATGTCACAATGGATCTTCAAAGGAAATTTCTTATAGATATGCCACTGACATAATCTATGCCTTGTGCATGGAAGACGATCTTCAATGAATCTTGTCATCGCTTGATCTTGGTCTGTAAAAATTATAATTGGATGTTTGTCATTCATTACTAGAATGAATGATTAGAAAAAACCACTTGAAAGACTCAATCGTCTTGCCAAATAAGAAACCAACTCTTAAGAGAACGTTTTGTCAATGGTGGTTAACCCCTATAAAAAGTGCACAACATAAAATATACTTAATCGATAGTTAGTATAAAAAATTATGACATCCCCAAAGCAATAGTAATCAAGTTTGCAGAACCCATTACTCCAAAAAAAGCTTGTCAGTTTACCATCTTTATCAATTTGGAAGTCCCACGCAAACATGTTATCCTCGGTTTGCCACTTCATGAACATTTGTACCAGAGAATTGACATCACATTGTCCAATTCTATTTTTTCTTTTTGTTTAATCAAAGTTTTAGGCATCTTGCTTCGTACATTCCAGGTTTTTTACTCCCCCAACCTCTGTAGGAAGTAAGTTAAATGCATCCACTACTGTAATCCCTGATCCTATCATTAATCTCTGTAAATTATTATTTAACTTGCTACTGCTGAAATGAAGAATATGCTTTTCACCTGCTTCTGCCAAGGGAGGATTATGACTTTCTACAAATTTCTTAATTGTCCAGCTTCCATCAACATCAATAACATTCAAACCATGGCTTGACAGTTGGTCCTTGTCTCTATTTTTTTGTACTTCACCGTATTGGTGAATTATAACTATTTCTTATGACCAGCTTTTCCACAAATATAATCCTTCATCTTAATTTATTTTGAATTAGGCCAATAACTGCTGTGATCCTTGTTGACAGTGAATCCAACATGATATGCATAGGCATAATTGTGTTCATAAGCTTCTTGCTCATTGTGGACAACAATATTAAGAAATCTGTCAGCAACTGGATCATTGCAAACATTTCTGGGCTTAGAGAACCACAAATTTCCATTATATCGTAAAGATGGTCAGATATGCAGATAACACCACACCCTAAACACCAAAATATAAAAAGATTGATAACAAATTGGTAACACACTAACACCCACTTCACACCACAATAACACCATAATAACACCATCATAGAATACCAAGAATATTTAGAAGTTATTTAAGGTATTAATTTGGGTTTCAATTTGGTGTAAGACCAGAAAGAAAGTAACCCCAACTTAATCTCTACATAACCTTAAAATAACTTGAAAATTAACTCAAAATAACCTGAAAATTATTCTTCTGTCATTATTGGAGATATTTTCATATTATTCTTGAATTATTTAGGAATTACTTACATGGTTATTTTTGGATTATTTTAGAATAATTTTGTGTTTATTGTTGAGTTATTTTAAGGATATATAGGCGTTAATTTCAAATTAATATCAAAATTTTTAAGGAGTTATTTAGAGGTTATTGTTGGGCTATTCTCTAGTTATTAAATAGTTCTTTAATGTTTAGTTTCGAGTTTATTATTGTATTATTCTCGGGTTATACTTGAGTTATTTTGAGATATTTAGGAGTTATTGTGAATTTATTTTGATTTTTTTGGGGTTATTGTAGAGTTATTGTTGGGTTATTTAACAGAACTGAAAGATAACCTGAAAACTAACCCAAAATAACCCAAAAATAATCATAAAATAATCTAAAAATAACCCGATAATATCCATAAAATAATCTAAAATAACCATAAACCCTAAACCCAAAATAACCCGAAACCATAAAATAATCTGAAAAATAACTCCAAATACCAACTGTAGCACTACAAAAAAAACGAGGACATGGAAGCACGTAAGTAAAAATCTAATGCATAAAAGAGCATACGATACCATAACGTTTTGGGGAAGGCTAAGCTCACCTCCGTTTTGACATTATTCTCATAATATATAATCGCTCTTTCTTCGTTGGGAAAAAAATTCATCTCCATCGCAACAACACAACGTACCCTAACGCAGCGAACTCTACATAGCAACGACGAAACTCTAGGAGAGCAAGAAATGATGATGGAAGCTTCAGACATTGAATTCGTAAAATTTTTCTTAAAGACGGGATACTCTAAAATGCATGTATTTCTTTATATTTAAATCTCATCTTAATGGACTCCGCCGGACCGAAAATTTTTCCGTGCGCACGTCGTACGTCGTCACATTCGCCCTTTGTTTTTTCCTGTTTCCGTTCAACTATGCCGTTCTAGCCTCCGTCCATGATCTGAAAAAATACTACATCAGTACTACGCACGTTAAAATAACGTGCGTAGCCAATCAAATCACGCCACGACATCTAGTGCGACAGAGCAAAAAAAAACAGCGCAGTAACACGAGAATATTTTCCCATGTGTTATTGCACGTTATTCATGTGTTATTGCGTGTTATTCATGTGTTATTGATGTGTTATTGTGTTATTATAACACCAAGAATATTCTCAGGACACAATAACACATGAATAACACACAATAACACTTGAATAACATGGGAAATATTCCCGACAGAGAAAAAACGGCGCAGTAACACGGGAGAATATTCTCTCTCATGTTATTCTTGTATTATTGTGTGTTATTCATGTGTTATTCATGTGTTATACATGTGCTATTGTGTTATTATAACATCATGAATATTTTCAGGACACAATAACACATGAATCACACACAATATTTATTTCAGGACACAATAACACATGAATCACACACAATAACACATGAATAATAAAGGGGGGAATATTTTCTGTGTTAGTGCACCATTTTTTTTTCTGTATCGCGCGGGTTATAGTGATTTTATTGGCTAGGCACCTTAGTCTTTGCTCTTTGAATGATGTAATATCTTTTACGGTCAAGGTGCTCTTGGTTGCCGAAAGTAATGGCGAACGCGGTTCTGGAGGTGGAGGTACCATTGGCGGCGTCGTCGTTGCCAGCTCATGTCTATGTTGTGGCGCTTCTCCTCCTGCTCGTTGTGATCTTGTATGATTTTCTCGAGTTCCATTTCCTTAGAGATTTGTTTCGTGGATTCCGGGGAGATTGTGTGAAGCTCACGTTCGATTCCAGTTCCAAGATATATGATAATGTCGTCTCCAAGTGTTGGGTTCTCCAGGGAAGGTCACTGGCCATTATGCTTTGAAGCTCATGCTCCCTAGACCTGAAGGTATTTGAGATTAGATTTTTATTTTGTAATCTATTTGATGATTCCAGGTACTTGGCTACGCCGTGGCTTTCGAGTCCCCATTTCCAGATCGCCTTTCTCAGTTTATACGGGAGGCCTCCTGTCTTTACTTACAGAAGGTTAAAGTTTGTTGCCGTTTCTTTCGGTCTCTTTTTGGGGTTTGGTTGCAGTTGCTTTTTCTTTACTTTGTTTTGAAATGGCATGTCTGTTCTGATTGAAGATGAAACACTGAAAAAATTTATGTTAATTGCTATTGATTGTTTTTTTCCATAAACAAACTCTTAGAAAAACACGGGAAAACTTTTCGTTCACAATTTTAGGTCTTGTTGTAAAGCAAGTACAGCTGCTAGGTCAAAAGATTAAGCAGGTTCAAGTGATGCCAATACTATTTAATTCCTTCTACACTTTGCTTAACCAATAACAAGCTGTTACAGTGCTCTGTCATGACCTTGACCTGAAAGATGGTGTCTATGACACGACACTTTCTGTAATAAGAAACATGCATTGCAATCGTGAAGTTCTCTATATATCCTATTGAGCACTCCTAAACTACCTTCTTCTTGTGTTATTATAAGACGATAGCCACAAATTTATTCTTTTCGTCTTCACTAGCAGTGTAGAGAGAGAGATTTATGTAGCATGCCTGAAGCAAGCACTAGATCTACTTGGTTTATAAATGGAAAGAGGATTGAGTGGTCTCGTTAATATCTTAAACTAACTTTTCAATTAACCAATTTTGTGGTTCACATTGGTCTGTTAAGAAGATTACTTATGATTAAACAAAAAATTTTTTTTGTTGTTGAGATCAAGCTACCTTTAAGATGATTGTTTGTTGCACTATATGGATATATTACTTTCTTATGGTAGAATAGCATGCAACCATGTTTCAACAAGGCTATTGAGCACACCTATGAGACACGCTTCACCATGAGACACTTAAAGACCGCCTCAAGATTTGTGCCTTTATTTTCTGATTGAGGCTTATATATTTTTTTTATTTGAGATGTATGTTTTGAGGTATATGAGATATTGCCTCATATTTTTAATTAATATAAATTAAAAGAACCTTTCATTCTATGATAAACCTAATATAAATTATATTATGGTTTAAAATTGTTAGGTTATAATTACAAGAGTCAAGAGAGGGAGAGAAGGCTGAGGTTTTGGTCAGTAGAGTTGGGATGAAAAATCACATTTGATTGATTCACAACTAAGGGTCTGTTTGGGGCAGCTGTTGATTATTTATAATCCGCTGATAAACAGATTATTCTGATAATCTGATAATGTGCAGATTATCAAAATAATCTGTCTTGTTGTTTGGGGCAGCTTATTCAGAATAGCTTATTGGTAGTTATGGCTGTATAAATGACATCTCTGCCCCTATCTGGTAAAACTGTTTGGGGCAGCTTATTCAGAATAACTTATTCGTAGTACATAAGCAAATAGTGCAGAAGCATAAAATCATCATAGATCAGTACCAAAAGATGACATACAGTTCTCACACTATCGTGAGTACCAGAAAAAATAAAAAAAGATAAAGACAAGTCCAACTACAATGATAAATATTAAAATATTTAATTTCAAACTCTGGCTACGCCTGTCCTAAGCTGCACTATCAACCTGAGAAAATATCAGATTTCTATCACTACTGGCAGTGTAACATGTGGGACTGTCGACCCATCCGAAGAAATCATAACGAGCTGAAACACCCTTACGACAACTGTAGAACTGTCTCCCATAACTATGAGACTGACGCGACGTGAGTAATAGAGCCGTTAGTCCATAATAACACAAAACAACTCTATCCATCACTGATATCCTAGAAGTCATGTTTGTATAAGTATGCAAAAAAAAAATCAAAAAAATCGCAAGTGCACTGGAACACAGATCCAATGCGTTCAATGCATTCCCAAATAATCTAAAGACATCCTAAGAAAAACCCTCAAGAAAATCAAATCTTGCAAAAAAATTAACCGAGCCATAAATCCAATCAAATCGAGCTATAAAACAAACCAGAGAAGATCTAGCCATAAAAAAACCAACCAGAAAGCATAGCAACACATAGATCTCACCAGGGGAATGATCAATAATCAATGTTTATTAAGGAGAAGATCAGAGAAGGAGAGGGCGAGGGAGAGCGCGTGGGAGATCTCGCAAGGGCACAAAAAGAATTCGAGCCCTAAACACCAGTTGCGGACGCCGAACGCACGGGGACCCCCGCGTTCTACTTTGTAGAACAAAATATATTACGCGATTTTCGTTATTTTGGTAATGCGCTCCGAACGTTTTTTTCAAACAGCACGACGACGTTTTCAAAACGCCGCCACACCAAAATAATCTGCCCCAAACGGGCCCTAAATCATATGTCGACAAATATACCAATTTGAAAGACCCAGAACAAAAAAGTGAGCATGAGTGCACAACACGAAAAATCCAGAAAATCACACAATGTTGTAAAAGCCGAGAATGGTAGAAAATCACAGAGCTACACCACACAAAATCTTTCACTATAAAGATAAGAAGAAATGTACATATTACACAACATTTAGGGTGCGTTTGCGGCGGCAGTGCGATGGTGGTACGGTGGTGGAGCGACATCGCATAACAATTTTTCATGTTTGGCAAAACTGTGTTTTGCATACATTTTCAAAAATATGTAGCTAAAAACTATGTTTTCTCACCAGATTTGACTATCTGCTGTGGTTGCTAGAAAGCTGCGGCTTGACTTTTTCAAAATTTTTTTGTAATAACCATCACAGTTTTTTAAAAGCTAGTTTCTTTTTCAGCAGTTTCACAACTGCTTCATGAAACAACTACAGCTGACACTCCTGGAACTTTCAACAGTTTCAGGATGTTCCTCTTCTCTTGATCACATGAAAGAAATTATTGAAATCTACCCTCGACTCGCCAATACTACTTCACACTTGTTACGTTTGCGATCAAGTGCGTCAATCTGGATGGAGATCGTGTGCTAAAATCTCTAACTAGAGAGAAACTGCTTCTGACACCAAAGCGCCATTTCCGAGCACTGCCTTTCTACATGTTCAAGTTGAAGTCACGATTCGGGCGCCGTTGGGCCCCTTCTAGTTGCGGTAATGTGTACTGTTCGATTTATGTACCGGGAAATAAGCAACTCGCGTCTCTGCTGTGCGAAGCACTGAGTGCCCCTTATGGGCGCAGGAGCACCCAACCCTTTGGATTGGGGCACTCGCCGCCCCTTATGGGCTATTGGGTAACCCCTTTTAGGGTGCTGATTTTTTGGTTTCCTGCCCAATCAGGCTTCATACACTAATGATCTCTCATTTGGAGATTGATTGCACTCAATTCCTCTCCTCTAGATTTGCACTTCCATATCTGTACCAATTTTCATAGTCCTGTATTATGGCTCACCTCCAGTCTCAATCTTTCCAGACTTGCACTAAAGCCAAACATAAGTTCAGTTTCTTAATGGTCATCACCTTAGTCAACATATATGCAGGATTCTGAGGTGTGGATATCTTCTCGAACAATAACTACTCATATTTTGTGAGAGAATAAATAAAATAATACTTCAGCTAATTATGCTTTGCCTTGGCATGATCAATATCATTCTTAACTAGATGAATAACACCCATACTATGACCCTAAAGCTTTCCAATCCCTTGCTCTTTTCCTAATTTTGTCACAAAGTTTTGTAGCCAAATCAACTCCTTACTAGCCTTAGTGATAGCAATGTATTTGACTTTCGTAGTTAAAAGTACAATAATCTTCTGCAAGTTAAAAACCCAACTCATTGCCGTCCCTCAAAGTGAAGATATACCCAATTTTACTTCTATCATCTAAATCTCCTGCCAGATCTAATCTGTATATCCTTGTAGATTAATTCCTTGCACATCCAAAGCAAAAGTATCTTGTTGAATGTTCCCTTGAAATATTTGAGAATCCACTTCACCACCTCTCAATGATACTTACCTGGATTGTTCACGTGTCTGCTGATTACTCACACTGCATATGCAATATCTAGTCACGTACATATTACAACATGCAACAAGCTTTCAACAACTGAAGCATACAAAAAATTTCCAATACTTATTTTCTCTACTTCAGGCTTTGGCGGTAGTTCCTTATATAATTTAAAGTTACTACATAAAAGGGTGTACATTAGTTTTACCTCACTAATTTTGAACCTTCTTAACATATTTGTCTGAGATAACGTCACTGTACCTGTACTCCCGTCCCAACTGATTCTCCTACCAAAGATTTTCTTGTTTGGATCTCAATCCTTCATCCTTCCCTTGATAATTGTTCCTTAGAGTTTCTAATTTTCTCCATATATGTTCCTGCAACATGTCATCCACATACAAAAGAAGCAAACAATTACCATAGTTTTTAATGAAATAACAATAGTTTGATTGCATTTAATGTACCTATTGTCTGACATGAATCTGTCAAACCTTATGTATCACTGTCTCGAGGCATGCTTCAAACCATAAAGTCACTTCATCAATTTGCAAGCCATGTTTCTTTTTTCTTGGAACTTCATAACACTGCGGTTGCACTATATACAGTTCCTCTTTCAGATCACCATTTAAGAAGACTATCTTCACACCATCTGCTTCAGATATATATCTTTTTATGCCACCAAGGTCAGGACAACTCTGATAGTCATCTTCACTACTGGAGAAAATATTTTAGTGTAGTTCACTCACTTATTCTATTGAAACCCATTCACAATAAGCCTTGACCTGTGGCCTCTGCCACAATCCGACTCTTCTTTCAGTCTAGAAACCTAATTATTTTGTAGTGCCTTTTTTTGTAAGACAATTCTGCTAAATTTCAAATTTTATTTGACCTTAATAATTGTCATTTTCCATGACAAATTCCCACTCCTTTGAATATTCAACTTGAGTGACATTTTCATAGCATTCTGGTTCTCCACTATCAGTTAACAAAAGATAGTATAATGAATGAAAATATCTTTGTATCGGTTGTTGAATTCTGTTGGATCTGTTGAATTCAATAGCAGGTAACTGAAAAGCTTCATGTGCTTCATTATATCGAGCACCTATCCTTTTCCATCTTCTTGATCACCGCTGCCTTCTTTATCATCATAATTGTATGATTCTTCAAAAGTAGCTGA